AGGATCATCTGGGAATACATGCCTAACTATATTATATTGAAAGTTTTGGTATTAATTATTTACAGGGACATCATTACCCGGCAATTCCGCTTGTTTACGAGAGTGAGCTTAAGGAATTGGAAATTAGTATTTCAAGAGCTGAGAGAAGAAAGATGGGTCGTGTCCTTTACTTCAGTGCGACGATATGGCGAATTAGGTGAGTACTCAATATACAGAAGAGTTGTACTGTGTCGTTGCGAAAATTCTGATTATTAACAAATCCGAAAAAATATAATGCCCGTTCTCATGTTTTGAAGCTTACATAAGATTAGAGCTGCAGAAAATAATTGATTGTTATTAACTAGCTAAAGACTATTGTCCCGTTAGAAAATTTTGCGAAAGCTACTCTATTACTATTTCTCTTAAGTTCAGCGTCTAAGCAGGATAATAGCCTTTATCGAGTCAACATCTTGTAAGTTCTGATAGACTTTGGTCCATTGTACGTATTTAGAGACGGACTGAGTTAGCTCGATCATTATTTAGAATATACATATCGTATAAATCATATCTACCCAGATGGGAGCTTTGTAAGGTACAAGTAAAGTTCGATAGGTAAGGTTTATCCCAAGAAATCCATTAAGGTCGCGTGAAGTTCCATGGACACAGGAGAGAATGTTTGCCACGATAGCCGCAACGAAATTGCGTTTGTGTTATCATCGACGAACGCGCAAAATCTACTTGATGTAACTAAAACTGTTGAATCGTTTATATGCATTTTGGAAATCTAGCCATAGTTTCTGTAACATTTATATGTAAGAAGATATTATACGTTATACACATATCTTGTATTATTATACTATCGTATCGGAAAATTCAGCTGCTTGTGAAATTTAATATGTAATTTAAATACAAAATAGAAATCTGATTCTATCAATTACAATTTTTCAAAAGTTTGCATTGCTTGTCGCAGGATTATATACATTCGAATTCTGAAATTTGAAATTATTTTTCAAATATTTCCATCTCTTCCCGATGCATATTACAAATAACATATATGTCACAATTAGCTCAATGTTTTTTCTAGACATATGCAAATAAATCTAGTGAAATATTCTTCCTGTTTTTAAAAATTGGTTGTATGTTTTTTAGTAGGTCTTTTACACGTTTGTCGACGATACACTACACCCACATTTGTACAAACGATAGAACCGATAGAAATACATTGCTCTCTCGCATCAAAATGTCAAAATACAAAACTTCACGCATGCATTCGCACGGAACGTCCGCGAGGTACTTGTTAAACATATTCTTATGACCTTTTTTTAACAATGAACTTACCTCGAGAACATCTCGCGATCTCAGTTCACTTCGCTGAACATACCTTTCACCTTTATAATTTCCCCTTGGTCGTGTGAAAAATATCTTAATGGGACGGTTATTAATATTCGTAATCTAGTCGCATTATTTAACAGAGCGATTGATCCTTTTTTAATTTGTGTTTTTGCCCTGTTTTAATCTTTATTTAAATTTATTAAAATTTATTTCGTTCTCTTATATTTTAAATAGTTTAAACTTTCAAGCGTGAATTGTAACACTAAAATAATACTAACAAAATTAAAATAAATAAATAAATAGAGCTTGCTTATTATTTAACATAGGTATAAAAATGAGAAAATAGTGAATTGTGATTATAATAAGATCATTACTGCAAAGATTATATTATAATCTCAATTTATTTCATTTATATATTTAAACTTACGATTGACAGTTTCAAGTTGTTTGTTACTGCAATTATTTAGAAGCTATTAATTTGTAAAAATTTTTTTTATTTTTCAAATATATTCTATGATTAGATTTTCCAAACTTGAAAGTTTAATCTCTCCCATTATTATTACACAGAAGACACTATAATATAATACTCGCGTACATAAGTTTCTTTGCAAATACTAGTTCCTGTTTAATTTATGCAAAACAAATTGAGCTAATTCATATTTTATTGTAAGTAAAAGACTATTAATTTTTATCCACAAAATACAAGTTTTGTTCAAAAATATTTAATTATATCTGAGCTAATTATCAAAACATTTTATTTTCTGTTTAAATACTTTTTATGATATTTTCGAATAAACTCGTTCGATGAAATATATGTTATTCAAGTACAGTTTGTACTTTTACGACGCGTAAAATAAGATGTGGAACATTATTAAAATAATTTCACAAATTACTAGACTTTTTTGAGAAATATGTTTCTCACGTAACCGCGAATTAACGAGACTGTAATGACCATATACAATAGAACTCTCAAATGTATGTGCGAATATTTCATGCGAATATTTCTGGTACCGTGTGAAATATTCATTTATCACTACCTCGTATTCCCTACCTTAGTTTTTACAGTTACTTGTATAATATTACGTGACGTTATATTACACGTTTTTGATGTCTACGCGTTAATTATAGTTATAATTATATAATATATATTCAAGATATTTCGCGTACTTCAGTACCGTTAAGTTGCAATAGCTGTTTCAGTTTGTGGTATTTCCTCAATCCCCTTTGTGCACCGGTTCAGTTACGATGACATATGAGTCTCCTTCCTGTTCTATGTTTTACGTTAGATAGATCCTTTCTTACTTCAGATATATAAAATATTGGCATTTTCTTCAATACTTTCTGTACTACTTTTGATTTCCCTTGAGGTAAAATGTATTCTGTTTACAAAAGCCTTAGGTATTGTAAATAATTCTTTTATTGTTACACAATATTTTCTGAGAAATAAAATCATTAGTTTTGAGATAAGAAAACACAAGTTTTGATAGTAGTAGTTTTTCATGCAAATAAAACTTGTAGTCCGATAATTATTTTTTATTTATTGTCTCTTTCCAGATAAGTATTTCAAAATAATTTATAATAAAAGAATTGTAAGTAAGTAAATATATAGCTATTAATAATGACATAATATATGTTATTATTCTGTGTTGAAAAAGCACACATTATTTATAATATAATGATATTTTAATTTGAATAAGAGAATGTTGGAAAAAGTAGAAAATGTTACGAATAATAAATTATTGGAATAATAATATTATTAATTACAATTTTGTTAAATATTAACAATGTGAAGAAATTGCAGCATGTTTGAAATTGAAAAGAAATTAAAATATTATAGAATATAGAACAAGGAGGAGAGTCGTTTCTATCGATTATATCATAATTAGTCTCCTATCTAAATCCAAATATCTAAAATAATATGCTTCGATACATCTTTCGTCGGTATGCTTTACTGGAATTTTTATTAGTTATGAATATGTAACTCTTACATATTGCAGTATACTTTCGGGATACTAACACTATGTAATTTAATGTAATTCATTTGATTACCTGTAATTGTGCACTTGGTACATACGATCGATATTAATTTCGAAATTATTAAAACAAAGCGCGCAATTAAAAACTTCCACAAAATTATTTATCAGAATATTCGATATCAATTCCACACCGATCTTATTTTAAAATAATTCCAAGTTGAGTATTATCAAAATATTTAACACGTGACATCTAAAATTTTATTAAAAAGCAGTAACAATCATGATGTTGCACATACGGAATCGGAAATAAAGTCTTTGAACCTTGAAGAGCAGTTTTCAAACAAAATATTAAAATACAGATTACACAATTTATTACAGTTGCTCGTTAGTTTATAAGCTTTAAAAGAGAAAAGCGTATACCTGATAATATAGTTAACAGAGAGGTAGCAGAAAAAGGTACTTTGTGCTTTGACTATTACGCATCCTATAATTTGCAAACAAATTTCTTTTTACCCGACGGCAGTACTTGCAACTGAAGCTTTAACACGAACAAAATATTTACGCGCAAATGTGCATCGTGTGTATTACGAAATAAATTTTCAATTACGTTTCATAAATTTTCAATCAAATTTTGTAAAACGTTTAAGCACAGTGTACCTCTCCTTGTATAACTTTTATATCTTAGTGAGAGACGATACTGATATTAATTTTTGTTAAAAGTATCGCTGAATATTTTTGTTAATAATTATTTTAAATAATAATTTTTAATTTTTTATTTAAATAATATCAGAAGAGATATATGTTTCGATTCCTTGTTTAAATAATGAAAAAGAATACATTCTTAAAGGATCGTATTTTTTTAAATTGACGTTTTTTATTTTATTTTAATTTTTATTTCCATATTGCAAACTTTTCAGATGCTCGTTGCAAGAAGTTTTTCGAATCTTGCGAACGTTTCGAGAGAAACTTATACTTTAAAGTCATTATTTTTTGAAGAGACGCGCTTTTAAATTCGTAGATTTGTATACGATTAATTAGTGTACGCGCGTGTACGTGATTTTAAATTATGAGTTGATACATATATATATATGTATATATATATATATTGGAAAAGCGATATGTGCGGTTTTTTCTTGTTTTGTATGTGAATCACGTATTTCTTGTTAAATAAACTTTTCCATACACAATAAAATCATATCGCTTTCCATATACTTATACTTTACGGGATATAAAAACAATCGTAATAAAACGTTACATATACAATATAATACCCTAAAGAATGTAATTTTTTACTTTAAATCAGGAATATTTACATGAAGAAATATCAGAGTTCATCCATTCGTTGAAAACAACTATATATCCATCATTAAACATCAATTTCACACCCACACGTTAATTTATACATAAATTTATACAAGGGATATTCCAAAAAAGATGTATGTCGATAGCAAAAAGCTTTTTACAATTTGTGTTCGCATTTTTCTTAACAAAAAAAAAAATTGAATAAGTTATTTAATTATTTTACAATTTCCATATAAAAAATTATGATATCTTGATTTGAAAAGGTATTAGAGATTTTATCATGATGTTTAACATTTTGTATTAAATATTTGCCAAGGAAAAATTAACATTTCAATTGAATCTCTTTCTCTAAAATTTAATATTTAATGATAATAAAATAATACTTTTGTTATCGATACACATACTTTCTGGTATAAATCTTACGAAGTCGATTTGTATCTTTTCGAACTTCGAGCTAGACTTCTTCTAGAACTATCCATTTTATCTACTTATCACGCTTGCTTTTCAAAATTCCGTGGATTAAGACGGAGCAAGCAGTAAAAGTTAATCCGTTATTCATGTAAACATGGAAACACTTGTTTCCTTCCAAATTGCAAACGTCAGCTCGAGTCTTACCTTAACGCACTTAATCAAAAAAACTCGATTGCTCGTTGTTGCGTTCCTTCGCAATAATCGGGACCAGCGGACTCCCGGTCGTGAAAAAAACTCGTTTCTCTGTCGAGATAGCAGATTTAGGAGATGTTGCAGTCGTCAGCACGGGCATCCCTGATCTGCTGTTTCGTTTTTCTTGAAGTGCGCCTGATTAGGCTGCGACTACGTGGTTTGCTCTTTACCTCCTCAGTAACGCTGACGACGCTAGGACCCTGGGCCGCGACCACTTGCTGGAGATTCCCACCGGGACCCGCGCTACCTGTTCTGCCGCTAGGGCTGCCGGACCTTTCATTGTAATAAAAGAATAATAGACGAGAGTTAGAAATATACTATCAGAAAAAAAATTATTTATTTGTCTAAATTTTTTAATTCGGTTCATCTTTATATCTTTTGATGAAGAATGTATGTATTTCAGTCATATTTGATTTATTTAAGTCAATTACAATTTTGTAATTATATTGAAAAAAATTGTTCATTTCATTACATTAATTATTATTTAATTGACTAAATTAATTTAGTTTGTCTTTATTTTTTTCATTGGAGAATATATATATATTGTAATATATATATTTATATATATTCTTCAATGAAAAAAATAAAAACAAATTAAATTAATTTAGTCAAATGAACAATTTTTTTTCAATGTAATTATAAAACTGTAGTTGACTTAATTTAATGTTGCATTTGTTTTTTTCTTCGAATTTTTGGTGTTTATAGTTATGTACAATAGTCCTTCGAGCCGTGCATTTTACATTTTTGTTAATTTGAATGAAGAATTCTTTTGATATTAATAATTTATATTTAGTATAAATTTTTTATTAATTTAAGTATATCTCTCCCTAAAAAGACATGATTGTTACGACTTAAGAAGAGAACTTTTCCAAAAGGAAATTTTAAATAGAAAACAGCAAATAATTGGAAGAAATGTAAATATTATTTAAGATTTGAAAATAATATTCTATGATATAGCCTTTTGGCATTCTGTTAAACTGCGCGCGATTAATTATATGAGTTGAATAAATGGAGTTATAAGGCGAAAGTAAATATTTAAATATTACAATTTTTGGTTAAGATTTTAAAATATACAATTTGAGTCCAGACGTTTTTTCAAGTCTAAGTAAGCTGAAGAGAAAGTACATTTATATACACATATCATTTGAAATTATTTTTTAAAATTATGGTTATGATTTCTTGAGATATGTAAAGTTCTTTTCTCAATTATTGAAAACATATATTCGCATGTAATTCCTATACATGCAATAATAAACGATTTATTAGGACCGTTTAATGTGAATACACAAGTAAGTAAGAAGCAATACCTATATCGATCGAAGCTGGATCTTGAGTGCTCTAAATAATTTCGGTGGTATAAAAACGGTGGTCTAAGGACGTTTGTATACGAAATGCTAGAGATCCGAGTTCAAATTTGTATTTAGTAGGTAAAAATAATTGGAAATAATTTTTTCTAAATATTAGACAATTACCGATAAAATGGATATCTATTGTTCCTTCATTTTGCAAGTATTTTAATTAAAAGTTTCATCAAAATCGGCGTGTGTCTATATTAAGTAGAGTTCCTATTGGTTACGTATTTATCGTAAAGTTATCGTGATATATACACTAACGTATAAAAGTAATGAATAAAAAGAATCAAGCAATGCAAAGTACAAGCTCGAGTACTATCGAATATAAATAATAATGTTCAAGAGTAATAGATGATCTGAAACGATATTGAACCTCTACATCGAAAACGATATTTAATGTTTCAATTATATTCATATTTGATCTACTTCGACATTGGTAATTAGCAACATTGAAGTGCGTTGAAAACCTTTTAGATTGAATACCTGTTCCGTTAATACATGCTGCTGGTAGATAAAACGCGACTAAATGGCGGGTTTGCGAATACGATTAAAGTCATTGATTGGAATTATCTTCGTGTATATACATATATTAAAGAAATTACATCGTAATCTAATTTAGTACGTGTAATCTAGTTTACTGCGTAATCCAATAAGTTTCTTTTCGGATTTTTATTAATTTTTCTTGATATCAAAAATAATAAATTAAACATCTATAAAATTTAATCTATACAATTTTTATATTCGTAGTAAAAATATTTAATATTTTTCGAATAGAAAGAACTATTAATTATAAGTAATGGGTGATAACTTATCCATCGTTTATTATTTATACATATTTATTTTCCTACACATTCGTCATTTTTAATTTAAAACAAGGAAAAAATTTAATAATGTTTATTACGTTGACTTGCCTCTAAATTCTCACCCTGCATTTGACGCGAAACTTGCCTCTCACAATTCTCAGTTCTCATTTACATCCGATGCAATCTTCATTTTAAGCCTGCTCGCACCAACTATCAGGCCTGACTAAATAAGCCTGACTTAATGATTCACTGTGTCTTTCGAGATTACGATTTTATTTATGATAGATACAACATGCAAAATTATTTAATTGTCGTAGTTAATGCTAAGCAACAACCTTTAAACAAATAAATTTTAAAGCTACGTTTGACATTAATGGTTACAATTATTGTAGTACGTGTACAGAATTTACATTAAGAATGAATTTATACTAGTTTTTTCTTGAAAAGAAAAATGAATAAAGTTCAACCAGAAATTAAAATTCTTGAAATATTCCTTAATGTATGAAATATCTTGATAAACTAAGTTTCAAATAAAAAATTTAGTCAATTAAAAAATGAGAAGCATTATACATTTTTTTTATAATATAGTTTATAATTTGAAAACTTTTTGTTTTAAAGTTGATACTTTAAAAAAAAAATGGAAATAAATTTTTTTAAATTTATTCTTAAAATGAGACTTACATATTGTAATATATATTTTATATTATATATTATAATATATATATGAAAACACATATGCCTTGTTGTTCAATGGTATTTATTCGTATATGTAAGGAATAGAGTTAGTGTTTTACAACACCTGCGTGATCCATACGCTGAACATCTTCTTCTGAGCCCCGACTGCTCGACCTCACCAGTAGGATTTTTCGGTACGATCTTGGAAAGCGTGACGAAACATCTGAATACATCCTTAATGTTGTAGTCGTCCTTTGCCGAGCACTCCATCACCTTAGCGCGAAGTTTCGGCAATTCGCAAAATAACCATTCGCTCACATCCTCGATTGGTACCTCTCTTCGTGCTGGCGCTAGGTCAAGCTTGTTCCCGGCGATAACTATCGGTACTTCCTATTGGAAAGAAAGTATGTCTTCGTTATTACCTCTTCTCCACTAAAGCGTAATTAAAAAATCAATTTTTAAAAAATGCCGCATGATAATGCCTTTTTATCAGCTCTAGATATTGTGCAAAGTTATAAATATTGAGAACAGCAAATTAATATTTCATACTATTCCAAAGATAGAGGAATCTAATTAAAATCGTAGATTGATAAGAGTAACTCTGCTAAATATTCGATAAACTTTACGAGATAAATCACTTTACGAGAGAATTAACATGAATAATTCTAGAATTCGCACCTGGAAGTCGGGTCGTTGTTCTCTCACTTCTTCGAAGCAACGTTTCACGCATTCGAAACTTGGTAACGATGATGTCGCGTATACGAGTAGGAATGCGTGGGCGGTGGCTATGCTCAACCGCCTCATTGCAGGAAACTGCAGGTCACCTACAGAAATAAAATCAAAATTTATTTGGTTTAATGGACGTTTACGAGAAAAATCTTCCTGCGCATCTGAAAAAATCGCGTATTGTTGCTTCGCAAGTAACTCTTAAAAAAGAATATAAAATAACTTCTTTTTTTTTATTCACTATTTCTCTTATTCTCTTCTTGGTTTTAATTTCAATTCTTTTTATTTCAATTCTTTTCGAAAGATATGTTGAAATGTTTCAAACTGACAACTATTTTTTCATGATATTTTTACAAATGTCGCCCAAAAGCATGCTGTTATTTCTGATAAATTTTTACTACATACGGAAAATAAGTCATTCTATTTATTTATGATGCATATGTATAGCGCATTTATCTCGTTGCTTTTCCAATACAAATTCCGTTGCTCTCTCGCTAAAAAGTTATTGGGATATATCTTTGCGCAATCTCGATTAGATCAAGGATACCTTGGTACACGAACACATTTCTGTACAACTATATTGAACGCTACTGAGTTACGTTTATTTGATACGCGATTCCGGCGAGAGAGAGAAATCCAAGGTTCTTTCGTTTTCAATCAAAACATTCAGTATTCCGTTTCACCATATTGAGAATGTGTGTACGTAGTATCACGTATCATTTAATATTTTTCGTTATATTGCATAGCAGATTCGATGAGGATGGAAACATTTCACATTTCAAGGGGAAATGACTTTAAAAAATATATAGAATTAATTTTTCACATATAAGACTTATTATTTTAGGGTTTTATGAACAGATCCGTAAATATATACGAAATTTTAAAATGATAAATTAATTAAATAATAGTGTGATTATACTGAGATTTATATTACAACATAAGTGTATAACATAGTAATTAATTAAAATCAACTCAATTAACTTAAGTATTGAATTATTGCATAAGTGCAGCATAAACGGTTATTACATTAAAATGATATGATTTAATAAAAGCATTATCACAGTTTTTGCGAAATATTAGTAGTTAATCATGTTAAAGCTAAATAAATTCATATTTTTAATCTTTTCTATCTCTATATAAAGTATTTAGTGAAAAGGAAATTATGAAAACAATTTTTCATCCAGAAAAAATATTAGTGAATTTTTGTCTCACACACACACACACACACACACATCTTTCATTTGTTGACAAAATTATTTAAAAAAATCATTAATATAGAAAATCGACGTGTTTCACACAATCTAACAATGAGCGCATTCAGTGGACTCAACAGTTGAGTGAGCTGTTATTGGTGTATTCTTTTAGATTATCCAATCGGAATTTTAGATCTAGAAGAATACATTAATAGCAGTGAGCTCTCACTCAACTGTTGAGTCTGCTGAACGCAGCCAATAAAGGGAAAAGGGGAATGATGAGAGACGTTCATCTTACCTGCGGTATCTAGAAGATCGACTTTAAGCGTCAGAGTGCCAAGAATGCATTCTCGCGAGTACAGATCCTCCACGGTGGGCCGGTATCGCTCGCTGAAGCCTTGACCGAGTAGTCGGCGTATAATGGCACTTTTGCCGACCCCGGCGCCGCCGAGCACCACCAGCCTGATCCTTTCGAGATCGGCCATATTTTCTGGCCGGTCGCACCCTGGTGACTTAGAGCACGACCGTAAGAATGTCGCTGCCTCAGGATGGCATCACCCGGGAGGTCGATCGAAGTCTCGTCCACCTCCTGGAAATCCAATACGGTCGCCTTACCCGTTCCCGTCGCCACCCGCGTCTGTCAAAGTGCTCCTCCTTCGTCCGAAGGATATTAATTTGATTCCCCGCGGCGATTCCTGACCGCGGTCAGAAACGAGTCGGTGGTAGTTCCTCGAGATCGATCAGTCGCGATCGACGTCGCTTCGAAACGATCACGTTTTTCCACCCAACGACGTCGCACGTCACCAACTTCTTCATTCACTTACCCCGCTTACGTTGCGCTCTCTCGGGAACTCCCATCTTCCTCAGGGAAATCGCAGTCTTTCGCTCGCTCCGTAATTCGAGTTGAAATTTTTCTGTTGAAAGATGAGAAACTGTTCTATTATTACTTATTTACACGTGCCGAATATGAGATTTTATTGGCAACATCAAATTATGAGGCGGACAATATCAAATTATGAAATACACCCGGTGTAATAATGTTATTTGGGACCACCAAGTGGACTGGAAATTGAAGTAAATAGTTACTATGGAGACATTCCGAGCTAATTGGAATATTCCGTTTAGAACAGCGACTTTTATTGAGGCCATAGCTTTCATGCTTTATGTTAAGAAATCCGATATGTTGATTATAAATATCGAAGCAGAAAGTCTCGATGATTTTTTAGGTCAGTAAGCAAACGAAATATATTACAATAATTAAAGTATTTTTTTATCAATATCTAATACCAATAATATCGATAGAAAAGGATTAGAATAGACAACACAATGGACCTCTTTGTCTCATTTAAAATTAATTATAATCGTTAATAAAGCTAATACATTTCCTTTATGACAATATCTACATCAATTTACTATTTTCAGATTTAATCGATTACTGCGAGTATTAATTTTAAGAAAAAGTGTATCATTTATATCGAACTATATAAGAATATCTGTGAAATAAGTTTGAACAGAAAAACCTTTTGAAATTAACGAGTACCTAATTTTAAAATAAAAACTGAACGGTTATAGTTCAATATTTAACTTATGCACTTCAAAGTATTTCAAATACTTTTACATTGTCATAAAAATTATATTTGTCGAAATATATATTAAATTGTGAATGTTTTAATTATTTCAATTGCAACCAAACTATCAAGGATAGTAAAATTAAAATTATATATTCCTATGCAAGATAAAGTTATCCATGGGAATTAACGAAACCCACGAACATCGCGGAATTGAGTTCATTCGGTAGAAATGTGCAAAAGGGGAGCTACGGCGTGCTTGGAATTTTTTGCGTCTCTTTTGCGACAAACTCACATGGGAAATAAATACAATATAATATCCGAATTATAAACATATTAATATGCCATAGTATTGAATAATTGCCATAGAAATTAAATCGATATATGCCTTTTATATATTAAATTTTAATCTTACAAATATTTTTCCATAGCGATCAATCCCTATCATTTTATTTTAAACTTACGTTATCATCTCGTTTATTCTGTTTTCTCATTTTTTTTTGTCTTTATTAGTCATTATTTTACCTTTATTTTTATATTAAAAAATGCGCGCGTAATTGTTAATAAGTATGATTTTAATTGTAATTAATTATAACAATTTTAATACATTTACATTTTCTAATTAAGAAAAATATTTGTCTTTTTGTCATTAACAAAGTCCTTGTTATACGGAAAATGTTTTGTTATACATATCCATACTTAAATTTATTACAAGTGGAAATATTGATAAACAATAATGTTAATTTCAATTTACGCAAACCACTTCGCTTATCTTCCCTTGTAGGAAAAGTTGTATTGATATTGAGGAGACTAATTATATTTAGATATATATATTTTTTACATTTACATATTACATATTAATTAATAGCGATATTACTTTAGCATTTATCGTTAGAGATTTCCATGGAAAACACATTCACGGAAATCTATTTTTGATGAAAATTTGCATGGATTTGCATCCAACTAGTTATTACATTTTATGTTCAAATAGTTATTAAAAGATAATTAATTGCACTGAACAATTCAAACACGTATGATTTTACATTTGTATGTATTAACGAACAACGGCCAAATGCGAATTGTATATGCTTTTAATTGTTATCACAAGAAAATTTTCCTGATTGCAGATTGATCAAATTTGAAAAAATTATCTTTCACTTGAAGACTTCGTCTTTTTCATAAATTAATTATATTAAAAAATTTTTTAATATATTTTAATTGAAAACAATTAAGAAACCACAATATCGCAAAGAGAAACAATAATATCGCGTCGGTATAAGTTTTTCCCAAGTCCTTTCGATTCATTCAACTTCTACAAATGCAAAATTTCTCTTTCGATGAAAATTTATGTGGAGGATATAAGTTAATTTTGTTTAATCTTATCTCGCATGGGCCAGACGCCACACACAGAGCGAATGGGATGTGTAATGAAATTTTACCGAGCAGCACGGTGGTATTTACAATCCGCGCGAGATGAAAAAGCGTGTTGTCGCTGTTGCGGCGATGCGACGGGACGTGATCGTAATTTACTCTGCATCCTACGTCCGCGAAGGGATTATGAAAAGGAAAGAAAAGAGACGAAAACCTTGCTTTTGTACGGTTTATACTGTTGGATATCCCTTCGCATTCTTTCTTTTGTCTCACTTCTTTCCTTTTTTCATTATCAACTAGATCCGCAGCCCTTTCGGCAGAAGTCACAGGTGGCTGCTGGCCGCCTCTTTTTTTTTCTACTTCGACTGCCTGGGGGTCTCCACGGGATTAAAACGTCGCTAAATACACAGGTGCCGTCAACAGCAGGCTCTGTTTTATGAAACAAAACCTTAATCATTAAGCCCATTAATTGTAAACTCTTGGAGCATTGCCGCGTCAACCGCGCTGTGAAGCTCTGAAGCTTTTCTCACAGACATCACGCCGTGCGGTTCATGTATGCCCTATTTTCACTTAATAAACTTGACAGATACTTCACATTGTTTAGTTTTATAAGATTTTACACGCCGTGGTGTATATATATATTTATTACGATCTCTCCATTTTCGTTGATATTCTCTTCAAAAATATAGCTTTCGGTTATTATGTTTTATCGATTCCGCATTTTTGCTTTTAATGCTTTCAACCAATTGGAGTAATTTTTACGCTACTACAGAGGATATAAAATGGAAATAACGTATTTACAAGATTTTGCAAAGAGTATGCGGTTTATTGTATCATCAATTCCAAATGAATAGCAGATATAACGAGGGTTGTAAAAAGCTTAGATCCTCTAGAAATTATAGCTAGTATAAGAAAATGTGTCAAGTTTAACATGACATAAATTGCAACTAAAGAATTATATGAGTAAAAAGTAAATGATACCATTATACTTGTAATATGCTTCGCGTAATTAATAGCTTTTGGGTCTTCTTTTCATTTATGTCGTTAGAGTATCGAAAATCCTGCGTTAGCGTCTAAATATTGATTCTATAACAGGAAATCAATAATAAGTTAGCAATATGTTGAAATTAACGTGATTAGGATTTTTATATCACATTAAATATATGCATATACATACTGTCAATCTTCTATGCGAGAGAGAGAGAGAGAGAGAGAGAGAGAGAGAGAGAGAATCATGCTTCGCTAATTCTTTTTCAAACTAATTAAAATCAGGTAAACCGAGCGAAAGGGATAAATTGCACAATCCGTCTATCTTAAGTGCTGAGAGAAACTGGAATCTGCAGCATCCCTGAGCTATTAGAATAATTATTCGCGTCATTAGTGTTTCTCGGGATTCTCCCGCATTCATATACACATTACCCGTTGAATTCCAATTGCACGAAGCATATTCAACATATATATTAACGATGCTAATATACTCTTAATCTCTAGTATTTTCGTAAATATAATCTGTTGGGAATTTTCGCATGTTATAAATATATATCGTGTTTTTACAAATTTTTGCAATTACGTCAGATATAAATCTATTAATTAGTTAATTAATTATGAGTAAACGCGAGAATCTAATTTTTCGTAATTTGTTGATTTATAGCTTGGCATAAAATTAAAAATAAAATTTACAGACTCTATTAGGTTTAAGTTACTATATCTAGTTACTATAATATGCCAATGTAAATTTATCCTTGTATGATTATTTTCCGCAATATGAAAATTTTGTTATTTTGTTGGATAGCTACTGTGGGAATTGTAACATCTTTTATATGATTCTCCAGAGATAGAAATAAAAAAGAGCTCAAATACGAAAGACTTTCTCGGCTACCCGCGGATTTGTTCAAACACTATCTTGTAGGTGAAATAGGGGAGCAAAACCTTGAAAAACTCGTTTCATACTTATTTCGTTTTGTACTTATTTTTAGAAAAAGATCTCATTTTGAAAAACTTCCGATATTTTATACAAGTTATTGCAAACCTAAAAAGAAAAATGGAATATAATACCGCGGGTATACTATCATACGATTACCATAATATACCTAGGAAGAATAGAAACTAAAAGGAAATGCGAATCTCTTGTAATAATGTATATCTTTCTGCTTTGCCGAAGGGTATACTGTAAAAGAAACCTTTAATAGACATGTCCTAAATGTGCTATATTTAACTAACATGCAAGCCGATTATATTCTAAATATCGCAGCATGTATATTCTATAATCTGTGAAAATTTTAGGATAAAATAGTTTGTTGTTATAAATATTCATAATAAACAACAAAATATGGGGCTAATTATCCAAAGATGCGAATTTAATTCGACGAGTTTCATCATGTATGTCTTTAATAAACAAAATTCTCCATTTCATTTAATTTTACTATGTTAAATTTCACTACTTTTAATTTAACTCGCTTCGGAGATGTCATTTTCAGAGTACGAAAGCTATGTTTCGTGATTTCCTACGTGAAATTATCTTGCGCGTTTATTTGTTTCGCTTTGCGGTTATTGCATTACGAATATGACTGTGTGTTTATCCATGGACGACGAAATAACAATATAT